GTCTTCCATAAATAGCTACATTATCATTATTAAATACAATGTTACTGAGCTTTTGTAAACTGGTTTTCCTTTGCAAATAATGATGTTTATAGTTGCTTATTTCACATCAGTAGGGCTCATGTTTATAGTTGGTTGTGTAATCATTTGATTGTTTTGTGTCCACAGTAGTTCTCCTGATGTGTTTGCATTAGCTAGAAAACTGTCTTAGGCTGCTAAATAGAGGGCAGAGGGGAAGAAAAATCAAAGTTTTTCAGGGACCTCCAGACTGAATATATCATCTTGACTTTAGTAATAGTATTGCTCTAATCTGTGAGGTAGTCTGCCATAAATGGCTCAATTTTTACTTATTTGCACCTTATTCCCCCCATTAATTTGATGTATGTATATTATCAGGTTAAGAGCACAAATAGGGGGCTGGCCCCGTGGCTTAGTGGTTAAGTGCGCGCGTTCTGCTACTGGCGGCCCCAGGTTCGGATCCTGGGCGCGCACCGACGCACTGCTTCTCTGGCCATGCTGAGGCCGCGTCTCACATACAGCAACTAGAAGGATGTGCAACTATGACATACAACTATCTACTGGGGCTTAGGTGGGGGAAAAAAAAAAAAGAGCACAAATAGGGCTGGTCTGGTGGCACAAGCGGTTAAGTGTGCGTGCTCCGCAGCTGGCGGCCCGGGTTCGGATCCTGGGCGCGCACCGATGCACCACTTGTCAAGCCATGCTGTGGCGGCGTCCCATATAAAGTGGAGGAAGATGGGCATGGATGTTAGCCCAGGGCCAGTCTTCCTCAGCAAAAAAAGAGGAGGATTGGCAGATGTTAGCACAGGGCTCATCCCCCCAAAAAAAAAAAAAAAAAAACACAAATAAAATGAGGGAAAATAAAAATTATTAATTAGGCAGAGAGAAGTAGATGTGTCAGACATCTAAAATAATTTATATGTTGTATTTTAATTCAACAGTTATCTCTAAATTTTCTGGCAGCTGGAATTGTGTCCTGTAGGTTTGGAATTGTGTGATAAGAGAATCTTTTAGAAATCTTTTATGGGCCGGCCCCGTGGCTTGAAGGTTAAGTGCGTGCACTCCGCTGCTGGCGGCCCGGGTTCGGATCCTGGGCGCGCACCGACGCACCGCTTCTCCGGCCATGCTGAAGCCGCATCCCACATACAGCAACTAGAAGGATGTGCCACTGTGACATACAACTATCTACTGGGGCTTTGGGGGGAAAAATAAATAAAATAAAATCTTAAAAAAAAAAAAAAGAAATCTTTTACAACTTTATATCCTATGATTCTCCTATGGAGTGATTTTTTTTTTTTTTTTTCCTGGATCTACCTTCTAAATATAACAGATGGTAGGGAACCTTTCCTAAGGGAATTTGGCAATACAATGAATGTTTTTCATGAGAAAGCTAGAAGTACTGGTTGTCTTGTTGCTGACTGAAGTGTATATAGCTTTTGATAGTAACCTATAGGCAACAGAATTGGGAAATTTCAGAATTTGGCTTATATAGATCCTCTTGCTTTAATGATGGGCTTTGGATTGTCTCTTCCTATGCCCAAATGCTTTCTCAGAAAGAAAATTTGAAAATGTATAAGCGCTTAATCAGAAATATGAAGGAATAACTTCCTACATTTAAAGGAATTGTTAGTACAATTTTTTTGATTTTGAGATGTTCTGTATCCTAATGATTTTGAGTCTTTTTTGGAATAACATTGTTTGTATCTCTTTTTGTTAAGAATCAATGTTTATATTTGTACAAATTACACTATAAAAAGTCCTCATGCTGGGGCCGGCCTGGTGGTGCAAGCGGTTAAGTGCGTGCGCTCTGCTGCGGCGGCCCGGGGTTCACTGGTTTGGATCCCGGGCATGCACCGAGTCACCAGTTGTTAAGCCATGCTGTGGTGGCGTCCCATATAAAGTAGAGGAAGATGGGCACGGATGTTAGCTCAGGGCCAGTCTTCCTCAGCAAAAAAGAGGAGGATTGGTATTGGATGTTAGCTCAGGGCTGGTCTTTCTCACAAAAAAAAAAAAAAAATTCATCATGCAGTGTAGTGTGGGAAGGCATAGGCTTTGGAATCAGACCACTCTTTATTCAAATCCATTTAACTAGTTTGGACAAGTTACTTTGCTTTTTAAGTTCAGTGATCTTTATAACATAGGGATAGAGTTTCAATAACATTTAAATGACATATAGTGGAGAGATTTTGTTGAAGAAAGAGAACTGAAGTGCGAAATTTGAGTGTATTAATCCTGTGTGTCAAGTAATTGGCCTGATGTTTTGGGTGCAATTGTTGAGTCCCAGTCTAAAGAACTACTGAAATGTATAAAATACAGAGATTAAATGAGATATTGAATATAAAGTAATTAGCATAATGCCCATTCATAGTTAGCATTCAGTAAATGTTAGTTGTTATAAATATCTATATGTAGAGGAATGAAATTATATGATCAATCTTTAATGGAAACTTTGCTTCTAAGATTCTTAATAGGGTATGTATCAAAATCACCTAGAGCAGTGGCTCTTCGTTAATGTGCATCAGAATCACCTGGAAGGTTGAGTAAACCAGATTGCTGGACCCCATTTCTAGGGTTTCTGATTTAGGAGATCTGGAGTGGGGCCTGATAATTTGCATTTTAAAGTGTTCCCATGTGATGCTCATGCTGCTGATCTAGTGACCACACTGAGAACCATCGATTTGGCATTTTTTTCAAAATAACATGACAACAGGTCTCAGTCACAGTGACTGGATAGGCATAATTTTTCTCAGCTGAATGCAGCTTAATGACAAATTATTTATCATAAAATAATTTATGGGCTTTCATATTGAAGATATCTGGGTTTCTAATTGAGTGGGAACTAATAGTTTTTGAATTCGTATCTATCTGCCCATTGTAGGGCTAGGCAATTTGTGTATATCTTTGTTACTGCATGAAATAACTCCATGATTACAAGGAAGGTTACCTGGCTAGAAGGAGAAAATAGGTCTATTTCATTCCTAAATTGTGATCTTTCCACAGTAACACTATATTTTCTGTGAAGAGGGTCACCAAATGCAGAAGTGATTGTATTCTCGTATTAACAGAAATGAGAGTGTGATAATCCCATTTTCTTTATCTCCTATAGTTCTGTTTGTTATCAATTGTTTCTCTTCGTTTTGATCACATTGTCTTATTTCTTTATGAGCCTGCTTATGAATGGTAGATATTGCATATGAAAAATCATAGAGATAAATTCATGCCTAGGATAATATTATCTTCCTCTAGAGGGGAGATACGTTTACTTCTGGCTGGTGACTAGGAGTATTAGCAATTGGAGATCTCCTTAATCCAACGGTTCTCCAAATGGTGGTCCTCTGATCAGCAGTATCAGCATCACCTGGGGACTTGTCAGAAATGCAAATTCTCAGGCCCACCCCAGACCTACTGAATCAAAATAAACTGTAAGGGTCAGACACAGCAGTTTGTTTTAACAAACCATCCAGGTAATTCTTATTTACTCTAAACTTTGAGAACTACCTCAGTTGAACTGGAGGTTGAAATGATTGGAAGCTGGATTTCAATCTATGTAAAATCAAACTATGTAAATTTATAGTTCTAATTCACTCTTATTCATAGGCTACGATCCTAATCCAAAGTGTGAGGTACTTACGAGGCTGTCCATACTTGGTGGATCTTGAGCCCCACTCCTTGTCTCCCCAGCTCGCTGGATCTGTTGAAGTTCAGCTTAGCTTCTCAGCCTCACAGGTGCCATCTTCTGGAGTCAACAGGGGCCTCAGGGAAATGCAAATCTGGGCTCAGATCTCTGAGTTTCTTGTTCCCGATCTTAATTCTTCACTGCCTTGGTAGCTCTCAAATGCTTCAAACAGATTTTTTTTTTTTTTTAATTTATATTTTGTCTGGCTTTTCTAGTTGTTTTCAGAGAGTAGAGGGAAGATTGATCTGTATTACCTAATTGGCCGTTATCAGAAGTGGACAAGTCTGAAGTACATGGCTGTAAAAGATGAGGAAGTAAAGAAATATCTCAAGGAGAAGAAAGTGATAAGCAGTTGTGTCAAAAATAAGTCTTTTTGGAACTTTGTAATGTAGATGTGTCTAAAGACAAGAATGGTGCTGGCACAATGAAGTATCTCCTCAGGAGGACATTTTTGTGGGCGATAATTTTTTAGGAAACTATTAGGTTTTGTAGAGATAATTGTGGGGAAAAAGCCAAGTTGCTATCTTCTTATGACTATATTTTCTTGTAAAAGTAAAAAAGAAAATAAAGTAATTAAACTGTTGTTTCAAAAATAAAGTTAAAGTAGATAAGAATGTTGTTTAAAATGTTTTGGGGAAATTATCACTAAGAACTGAGGACTTTTGTCTTGACGAGTCTGAAAGCAGCTTTTAAATGTTTTGTGCAATGAATGTAATGAAAGTGGGTTTCTTGGTTGAGAAGAGCATCCCAAGAAATGGGCCATCCTGTTGTCATACTGTGATCTCCCCAAAATGATTGTTATTGATATGTTTATGTTATCGTTTGCAACTATGAAAGTATGGAAACATTATTTCGGTTTTCTGAGTTTATATAGAAACTTTGATGCTAAAGACAAAGTCCTTATACAAATTGAAATGAAGACTTATTGCCATATTTAGCTGTACTGTCCTATGGACAGCAGCAAGGTCTGCTAAGCAGGGGAAATTTTTATTTTTTACTCTTGGGAAAGAGCTACCCTAAGATCCTCTACCCTCATGCCTTCTGCTTTTCTCTTTTAATTTTCTCAAATATCTTTGGAGATATTTAAATGAAAAAATATATGTCATAAACACCCATGTTTCTACATATTTGTGCTGTCCTTAGGGGAAAAAAATATTACAGTTGAATTACTCTTAGATTCGTGCCACTGCCGTCCCTCCCCTCCATTCCCAATAGCTGGTACATTTTCACTGCTTTTTAAATAAATTGGTTTTCAAATAGTTGTTATCATGGTGTTTATTGACGCTAACATTTATGGATCTTTTTACAGTTAAATCGTCAATCTGAAATTGTTGCTACTAGTTCTGTTGATCCGTGGAAGACATGTGCAAGACGAAACAAGACTGAAAGTTTAAAACCTTTGAAAGGCAACCCAATTGGACTTAACATGTTGAGCAACAATAAGAAATTGAGGTATAGGCACTTCACCAAACATTCCTACAGAAAAGATAAAGTGTTTGCCACCAAAAACTACCTCCCTCTGTGGCCAATTGGCCCAACCTATACCTTTTCTTTTCACTTTGTCAGTAGGGCCAAGAGGTAGAGTGGTCCCAGTATGTGAATTCTTTGCTTTGAATCTTGGGAGTTGAGTTGATTGCAGTGATTTCTTGGTTCTGAATAAAAATACTGCAAGAAAAATTTCAGTAGACTAGAATTTCCTAAGATGAGCTTGCTTTCATACAGTTGGTAAATTCTTGGTCATAATATTAGAAGTAGAAGGCACTATAGGGTGGGGTGGTCATGTCTCCTTTAGGGAATGCTTATCAGGATTATCTTAATAAGGGACTTTTTTTTTTTTTTTTTAAGATTTCTTATTCCTCTTCTTTATAGATATAACCCCTCTTTCCTAGTGGTTGTCACAGTGAACCACTGTTACTGATAAGATTGGGCTGTTATATCTCCCAGAAATAGGGTTAAAAATCACTGTTTCATTTCTCCTTTGTCAGTTTATAGATAAACAACTGAGGTACCTAAAGGCTAAGTAACTTTTGAGTCAGTGGCAGAATCAGAAGTAGGATTTAGGACTTCTGGGTTTTTTTATTTACAATTAATATATTTTATTTTTATTTTAGCATGTGAGAAAACTTGATGATACTCATAGTTTAAAAGCTTTTTTTATGGATAATCCCTGAATAGAGCATAAGGAGAGAAAATATATCTGAATTAATTTATAGGAAATCCTATAGTGCAAAACATTCTTTTAGGATCTTCCTGATTTCTGTTCTAGTGTTCTTCTGCTCTTTATCTTCTTTCATGAACTGGATTGGAAACATTTCAGAGACAAATTCAGAAAGTGGAAAACTCCTAATGGACAATTTAACATGGCCAATTGGGTTTATCTATAAATACATATATTTTTTAAAGTGGTGAAGGTTTTTTGTGCATGTGCTCAGATTTTAAAGGATTTATTTTGCATATGTGTATGTAATTTTCCCCCGTTCAAATTATTCTTTGTTTCTTGAATCTGCAGTGAAAATACACAAAATGCATCATTATGTTCTGGAACTGTAGTTCATGGTAGACGTTTTCAGCATGCTAATGCACAGAAATCAGTAGTAAAAACAGCAGCCCAAAGGTAAGGATTCTGATTGTCTTCGTTTAGTATATACATACCATCCTCTTTAATAGGAGTTTTTCACTTAAAAAAAATTTTTTTTTTTACTTTGTGGAACTTGACTGTGTTTCCATTGTCTATAAAGATATTCATGTCTCTGAAATAATTCATGTCCTAGAATTTTATTATTTTATATCTGCTTTTGAATAAATCACATTCTGTAAATAGAGACTTTTTAAACAAAAGCCATTCTATTTTGTTATAGTCCAGCTAAATTAAGCTGATTTTACAACATTGATCTTACAACATTTGACAGAGAGCTCTTCAGCTGGTAGTTTAGCTGAGGATTAAAACTACAGTCTATTACCTTACTTTCTTTTATAAGGTTTATTGGATTTCATAGTATCAAAATAAATCACATTATGAGTTTTAAATATTTGAGAAAATTTTGATTTGGTAGATTTGGATGTTCTCATTGATGGTAAAAGTACTGCTTGAACCTTCAAATAACAAAAGTAACAGTGGGGAAAGCTTGGTGTTTTAAATACTTTGACGTTTTTTTATAAACACTTTTGGATGGTTATGAAATTTCAATTAGATTTTAGTTCTGAGTCCGTTTCAGTTAACTTAAGAAATTCTTAGGCTCCAACAATTAAATAAATAATCTCTTTATTTCTTGTGTTATGGTTAGTTGTATAAAATTTTTTTATAGCTAGTAAAATGTGCTAGATGCTGTTCTTCATTTTTTAAAAATGTCATTCTAGACTGCTATTCATTCAGAAAATGTGTCCTGACTCTTAGAAACCCTTGCTGTATTTGATATTTACATAGATTTGCTATAACATAGATTTTGACTTATGAACATTAAATCTTTCTCATATTTTAGGATAATAAGAAAACCTTTCTTTTACTTAAATACATTATTTTATCATAGTTTTCACATAAGATATTTGAGAAATTCAACTAAAAAGACAGAAAGAGAAATTACTGCACATACCAAAAAATTGGCTTGCCTTACTGTAAAGTACACAAACAAATCAAGCCCTCTGACCTACATGTGGCACAAACATGAGGATAAATAATAAAAGGATAGTAATTGGAGTGAGGGAAGAAGGAGAGACACATAGTTTCTCACACACTGATCACATTGATAGAATTCATCCCTGATAAAGATCTGTCTTGATATTCTGAAACTGTGGTCTAAGTTGAAATACAAATTTATAATCAAGTGATACATTCTACAACCACAATTATTGCTTTTGAAGTTATCTATCAGTTTGGAATTATTTGCACTGTGACCTGTTCTCCCTGTCCCTCCTTTCCTCTTCGGTAATGTTGAAAAGCTGGTTCTGGTCTGGAAATTGGTTCGTGTTTTGTTTTATTCTAGGTCTTGGCACCTATTATACCTTGTGTGTGTATCACTGCACATCTGCATAAAAGATCAGATTCTATTAATAGCAAGTGGTATTTACTAGTAAAATAGTGTTTCTTTAAAAAAAAATACCTGAAGTCATTTGTACTTAAAGAAACAATCCTGAGTGAAAATACTTCACAAGAACAACTAAGAGCAGGAAGGAAAACCGTGAAGAGTCGAGTCCGCAGGACAGATTCTGTTTATGTTTCTCTTATTTGCAGAATAAACATTTCTTATTCCTATCGCAGCCTAACTGTCATTAAAAAGATTTTTAAGTTTGAAGACAGGTCATTGAGAGTTTTTCCAATTTTCCTCCTTCAAAACATTGTGATTTTATATTACGTACCAGGCATAGATGAGGTCGAGTAGTCAAAGGTGATTATGAGAGTCCCTGCCTTGAAGCTTAAGTTTGATTCGGGTAGAGGACAGAAAGAAGTCAACGAATGATTATGTGGGAAGTGCAGTAGTAGAGCTGTGCAAAGTATGTGTCATACTATTTACCGAGAAGGGAGCAGTGAAGAACTCACAGAGGAAGTATTAAAGAAGCTTTTGAAGAGAACATTCCATGCAGTAAGACCCACATCTTCAAAGGCATGAAGAAAGCCTTCACCTAAGGCTTTAGGTTGCTACCAAAGCTTTGGTTTGAATTAGTCTAGTATTGGCACAGTTGTCATGCCTCAGATGAGGGTAAGCACACTGGCTTTTACAGCCTCTCCTGATTTTTCTGATTTTCTCAACTCTTGATTTGAAATTAAAGGAAACACCACCAGTTGGTAATTCACACACACAAACTGTTCTTCTTGGGGTGAGTGATAAAACTTGTCTTATAAAAGAATTTTGAAAGATTTGTAGTTCTTTAGTAAGATATGGGAACAAGTATGTTATACCTTTTTAATCTAAAAGAAGTGAATGAAGATTGTTAATATATTATTAGCTGCTATTTGAGAGAATATTATGGTTCCAATCTATTTGTTACTGCTATTCCAAATGTTATTTTAACTCATATTTAAAAATAGAGTGTTTATATGCTAATAGTGGTGGAGAATGATAGTGTTAGTATGGAAAAAATGAAACACAGAAATTTAAAAATATATATAACCCTATGCCATCTCCACCCCTAACTTCAATCAGACTTGCTAAAAGAGTATACTTACTGCTTTATGTTTCATTTACATTATCACTTATTTTTGTTTTTTATTAAGGATAGGTGAAAAGATTTATAAGGATCATAGGGGAAAATGAATGTCTGCAAAAGCATTTATAATCCATAAATGGGAAAATGGGCTGCTGGAATAAGCAAGATTTAATTGTTAATTAAAAGCACCCCTTTGAAAGAATTTTTTAAGTCCTAAATCAGGTCATGGATACCAGAATCAATCAGTCAGTCTGTCTTTTTTCCTTCCTTTTTTTTTAAATTTTAAGAGCACTAGTACAGCACTAGTTCAAGAGTGAAATAGTCCAACAAGAATGTAAGTTGACAGTTTTACAAAGTCCTACATTACTAATAATGGCTCCCCTTCCCCATTTTTTTAAAAACTGCTTTTTTTTTTGATATGTAAACTCCTCTAGGACAGGGCTTGATAATAAACACATATTGAGGAATCTTGTGGAAATGCCATGACTTATAAATTAGATATCATATCATAATAAATGCGTTTTTCTCAAGGATAAGAGAAATGAGCATGGGTGTATATGTATATATTTGTTTTGTTTTGTGTTTTGTGTTTTGTTTTCTTCTTAACTCCCTTGGTTTATTGGAAAGAACCAAACCTGTCTCTTCCACTGCTACTCTGTCTTCTACCTCTTTCCTTTACCGTGTACAGGTGAGTCTAAAAACAGAACAAAACAAGAGAGTGCTAACTCTTCTCACTTCTTGGGCACAATAGTATAGAGTTGGAAATGGCTAGATTACATAGTAATGCCTAACTTGTGGTTTTCATTTTACCTTTCCTGGAAACAAGACTCCATAAGAAATAAATGTGTAAGACTATATTTAAATTTTTATGTTTATATAAGTTTCACTTACTTTAATAGGGTATGATAAAATTCCCTTATTTTTCTGTCATTTATCCAACATAAATTTATTTTATACAGATTATCCTGTTTTTTTAATAGCAAAGGTAGAATTTCAAATATGGTATTCATGTAAGTTTATAATAATTCTTTTCCACATTACTGAAAATTTTTTTAAAAAATAAGCGTTTCTTCTCAGTTTATGTAAAACTAAGTCACTATATTTCTTTTTTCTTAATTTGCTAGGATTAAATTGATATTTTACTTGTGTGCTCCATACAAGAGTTAATATGGGGACTTGGGGATTTTGTAAACTGTGTTTTGCTTAGTGTTGTTTCTAAATATTTAGATCCTTTTATAATAAAGAAGAATAATTCTGGGATGTGAATCTTATTCTAAATTGAGAGGTTTTGTAATTTTACTCTTGAGTAATTGATGTTGATAGCTTTTTAGATTTTCCATGAACTGTGGAGAAGGGTGGACCTTTTATACATTGGACTTTTGATTAGAGGCCATGATTTTAAATCTCAGGCCTTTCCTTGTGTCCCAAACCATATACTGTATTTAAGCTAAGGCTTTTGTGCAAGAGTTTCAACCTTAAAAAATTTTTTTATTATTCAGAAGTAAATAATCACATCTGGCAACAGGATTGCAACAACTAAAACTTTTATAACTTTCAGGAAATTGTATTGTTCCTTGAAGACTATTTACATAACTACTCTAAAATAACATGTATACTCAAATGTTTGATGGTTATATAAAGCTCTTTCAAGAATTTTTCATATATTTGTACATCCTTTTTTATTCCTTAAATATTTTAGATATCTTATTTTCTGTATTGGCAAAATTTGAAAAACAATTTACGTATCTGACAAGATTCAAAACATGTGACATATGTAATGTGTTTAAAACAAATTAATCACATTAGAGTTTTGCCTTATTGACTGCAGTTGCTAAGACTACAATGATATATCAAAAATGAGGTCTTGCCTCTTACATTTTTTTTCTTTTTCATGTTTTAAGCAGTCTGGACCAAAAGGAAAGGTAAGCTTAATGTTGATGAAATTAGAGCATGGATATAACAGTAAAATATCAGATTGTTTATATGTTTTGAAAAATAGTCATTGAATTAAAAGCTTATTTATTATTTTAATAAAAGGAAACATTAATAGCACAACATGACATGTGACATATGTGGATAGTGTTTCCCCATAATTCTCAATACACATTTTTCCATGAATGATTATTATTTATTTATACTGATGGATGACTACTTTTCTTTTAAAAATAGAATTTTTCAATGCCTTAGTAGTAAAGTTGTTCAGTTACATCATTAAAATCTTTCTTGTTTTATTTTAGTGGTAATACTTTTGCTTTCACACTTCAGAAGAGTATGGGGGGAAATGGAATTAGAATACCTTAAGCTTGGAGTCAAAACTCTAAACATCAAATGTATATCTATTTTGACCCAAAAGTTTGTAATAGAATTTAATGTTCCATTTGTAGTAACACTGGCAGACACATCGTCCTTTAGCAGAAATGTTGAATGATGTAAATAACTTGGAAACAAGTTTTTAAGAACTCATTTCTTTGACTAGTGAAGTGATTATCATTGTTCTAAAGCAAGTGTCCATAAGAATAGCTTCTCTCCTCGTGTATGTATGTAGAATTTTTTGTGCATGTGCATAGCTTTTTTTCTTCCTTCTGTGAGAGTCTCAAAAGCCTTTTATGAACCCTCCCCACCAAAAAAACAGGTTAATGCCCTTGTATTAAACCAGTACTTTCATGTAATTGGTGAAGGTCAAAACAAGGGACATTCTATAATTTTGTTTAATTACATAAATTTAACTGTAATTTTGTTTAAAGCTGTAGAGGAGGCAAAGAAGACAACTTTGCAGCATTTTATAAAATGCATATATTTCATCTTCATGAACACCAAGTTTCTGAAATATAAATTTAAAGATGATCCTGTCGGCAAAAGGTTTAGGCATATTTTATAATTCTGAAATACTTCACAATTCCTACATGTTTTAAGTGAATGGGTTGTACAAATATTTTGCTACCTATCTCCTGAGAAAGAAAAATTATTTTTACATTGTGTCTATTTTTCTTTTTGAGTAAATCACTATTTCTTGTCAGATATAAATGAGTCATTTTATATCTTTTAAATTTTTAACTTGTAAGTGACTGTATATTTTTTGGGAGGCCATTAATAAGATGTTTTTAATAAAATTGCTAAAGGACATACATTAAATAACTCACATATATGAAACAGACTCTTGTTCTATAGGAATAAATTCTTTCCTGTATGCTATAGTAGGTAAAATATAGGTACTGTTATGTTATCAGAATAATATAAAGATCTTAGATTATTCTTTTTTTCACAGTACACCCTTGGAGAGTTTATACTGATTTCTTTCCCACTGTTTTGGCTTCTTATGCATATTTCTGTAGTGGAAATTTATTAATTGATACATCAAGCAAATATTTCAATGACTCTATGTGCCAGGCACTCTTCTAGGGGCAGACAGAAATCCCTCCCCTTTTGGAGCTTACATTCTTGTTGGAATAATACTACACTAGTGGTCAGAAGATGTAGAATTAAGTAACCAGCTTTACCAGTAGGCACATAACTTACTCTAAAATGGGGACAATAATATTTGCCCAATTTTAAAAGAAATTTGTGAGGAACAGATGAGATAATTATTTAAAACTGACTTACACATTGTAAAATTAGAAAAATCTAATGGTCATAAATATTGAAAGTCTTTCAGTCTTTTGTACTGAGGTTACTACCGGAGACTAGATATGAAACAGCAACTGTTTATAAAATACCTTATCATGAATACACCTGAGTGCTTTCCTCAGCAACTTATTAGTGGTAGGTTGAATTTAGCCCATTAATCTTTACCTAAAATTATCTTGTATTATTCTTTGTCAAAGATAAACTGAGAAGAACTTTTGCGTCAGTAGATTTTACTTTGTAAATTTTTTCACATAAGCCTTCCCCCCCAACCTTCTTGTGAACACTAAGCCACATCTTTTTTTCTGATTTTTGAAGAGTAATAGAAGATTCTTTATTTTTATCCCTTAACACATGAGGCTATAAATCTCTAAACTAAATGATTGTTTATAAGAATGGTTTATCTAATGAACAAAAGTTAGGTGGTTGTGGAAGGTTAATCTTTTCCAGGTTTTTTCCACTTGTACTATATACTGGGTACAATGACATGTGTTTTAAAGTTAAAGCCAAGCTGGAATAAATATATATAAATAATAGTGTTAAGATCCAGAGCTTGCAAACTTAAAAAATTTGCTGCCATTTTTCTTTGTTGTGGGTGACTGACTCTATTTCCTTTCTGACTCATGGACAGATAGGTTGTGAATACATTGTATGTGGTAGCAGCAGCAATCTAGAATACTTATCTGGTATTAGAACTTGTTTTTTTTCCCCCTCCCTAGATAAAGAATCTGTTGACCCATTATGAAACTGAAACACATAGTGATGTTCAAATTTAAATTTTTTAAAAAGTATTTATTATTTTTTATTATAAAAGTTTATGTGTATTGTAGACAGTTTTGAAACAACAAAAAGGTACAAAAGTGAACAGAATACAATAAAAGAACCTATGTGAAATATTAGAAATGTTTACTTAAAGAGTGTGTTTGAAAAAATATTGTAATTAGAGATTTTATAATTTTTTTAAAAGCTCTCAAAATAGAAAATTACATTATTAGGATCTTGGAGCCATTCTTTCCAATTTTTTTTTTCTCTGCACTTTTTAATGTACCTAACTCATGTGGAGTCATAATAAAAATACAGCTGCATATTCTGAAGTGTCACCTAACAGTATGTCCTAGCATTTTCTTCTGTCATTAAGTTGGCTTCTAAAAATGATTTTTAATGATGGCATAATAGCTTGTCCTGCAGATATACATAATTTAATTACCCATTAGCTCATTTCTGGTTGTTTTTCACCGTTATATATGACACATTGATGAACAATTTTGTATATAAATCTCTAAATACATCTCTTAAGATAAATATCTGGGAAAGGATTCTATGGGCTAGGTTACAAATGTTTTTAATGCTCTTGATAAGTACTGTGAAATTGTTTTGCAGAGAGGGCAGTACCAATTTATAGTAGCATTATAAATTGCTCTCAAGTTACTTGAAAATAGAATTATATACAGATGATTCCTCTGTTCCTTAGAATTATAGGGGAGTCATTTGAAACCTTAGAAATAATAAAAGAGTTGAGCAAAATCATAGGCTACAAGACTAATAGTATTAATAATTGTTTCCTTCATTCACCTCTGATTGATAGAAGTATATATTGGAAAGACCAAAATTTCATTCATAGTAGCAACTAAAACTAAATATCCAGTGCTAGAATTAATGATGTGTAAATCTTCTATAAATGTATCTAAAGAACCTAATCAGGGGGATGGCCCCATGGCATAGTGGGTAAGTTTGGCTCGCTCTGTGTCAGTGGCCTGGGCTCACAGGTTTGTATCCTGGATGTGGACCTACCCCACTCATCAGCCATGCTGTGGCAGTGACCCACATACAAAATGGAGGAAGATTAGCACAGATGTTAGCTCAGGGCTAATCCTTCTCAAGCCAAAAAAAAAAAGGCGAAGATTGGCAACAGATGTTCACTCAGGGCGAATTTTCCTCAACAACAACAAAAAAACCCTAATCTGAAACATATTGTATTCCTGGTTGATTATTTGGTACCAGTGCTTCTTAAAGTAAGTTTAATGCAATTTTAGTCAAAATCTCAGTGACTTTGTTGTTATTTTAAAAAATTTGACCAGTTGATTTTAAAGTTCATTTACAAGAGTAAATATTTGAGAAGAGTGACAGACTTTTTTATTTGTTTATTTATGTACGTATGTATGTATGTAGTGTGTGTGTGAGAGAGGAAGATCAGCCCTGAGCTAACATCCATGCCAATCCTCTTCTTCCTGCTGAGGAAGACCGGCCCTGGGCTAACATCCGTGCCCATCTTCCTCTGCTTTATATGGGACATCGCCACAGCATGGCCTGGCAAGCGGTGCATGAGTGCGTGCCCGGAATCTGAACCTGGGCTGCCAGCAGCGGAGCGCGAGCGCACTTAACTGCTATACCACGGTGCCGGCTCCCAGACTTTTTTTTAAAAGAAGAATAATGAGGGAAAAGAAGAATGACTTGCTGCATGATAAAACATACTGTGAAGAGAACAGTGATTGAATATGGTAACACTAGAAAAAGACTAGGAAGTAAGACAGTAAACAAGTCCAGGTATGTTCAGTTTCCAACCAACCTGTCCAATCAATAAGTATAAACAAGTTTACAGTGCCCTTCAAATGCTTGAAGTATGATATTTGTACTTTGGCTCACAATTAATATTTTTAATTACTATATGGTAGCCAGTGATTCAGTTTTGACAACATTACCATCCTTGTACAGCAATATTTGTACAATTATTTGACCTGATAAATACAAATTTTAATTACATACTGCCTTTTAGTTATGCACATTGATTCATTCCAAGTATTCATCAAGTGCCTGCTATGTTCTAGGCATAGGATACATTGATGAACAAAACAGATAAGATCCCTGCACTCCTGTAGTTTACATTTTGATGGGCAAAGAGTGATAATGAACAAGTAAAACATGAATTAAGTTCTGTAAAGAAGTACAATTGGATGATGTGATAGAGAGTGACAGTATTGTTTCTTTAGATTGTGTGTTCAGAGAAACTCTGCTAGGAAGCTAACATTTAACCAAGGACTAGATGAACAGTTGGCCATGTCATGATCACAGAAATGGCTTTTCCAGATAGGGAAGATGTGGTGCTTCGATATTAATACAGGAATGAGTTTGGGATGTTCAAAGAACAGAAAGAAGAGCCACTATGGCTGGAGCTTGAGGAGCAAAGGCGAAAATGTTCTAAGGTGAATTTGGCGAGGTCACCTAGGCCCTAGATCAGAAAACGCTTGTAAGATGATCTAAATTTGGATTTTATATTAGTGCACTCACAAGAAGATTTCAGGGC